AAGTTGAAAATGATTTGTGACAGGTTTACCTTGTAAAAAGTTCTGTGGGTATAAGGATCACTTAGTTTTTCCATAGGTCAAACACTGAAATAAAAGCATACTGATGTAGGGCCAGAATCTGGGTCCATGTATCTGAGTAATGGTTTTCTAGAGAATTTGTTTTTTCAACAGAAAATTGTAAAGAATTACGAGAGGTTTATGGACATTTTACCTTATGGTCAAACTAATTGTGATTGTACAGATTTGTTTATAAGATTTTATTTAAAATTAGGTTTAACATTAATAATATACTAATGCAAAGGTGAAATTTGGCTTTCTCTTTTAAACAAGATTTTTACATAACGTTTAAAAATAATGAAAGATTTTTGTTTACCTTTTAATAAACAACAGAAAAAGGAGGAGAGAGAAGACAGATTCGGTTGGCCTCATGCTGTCTTTACTGTGACCTGTTTGGAAAGTTAAGTCTCCCTTCTATTAGCAAGTAAAGATTTTTGCCTTTTAGAAATTTTGGAGTTATCCTTTTGGCTACAGAAATGACTTGTAGTGACTCTTTACTAATCTTCTCTGAGCAACTCTCCTCCAAACCCTGTAGAGTAATGAGAACAAGTGGCACCCACTCCCTCCAAAAGAAAAAGTCCATATCCCTTTATATTATTTAAGGGATCAATTACCATTCCCCTATCAATCCCAGGTAATATCCAAATGCCCCACACCCATTTGAGGCAAATATGTCTTTTCCAAGATGGGTGCCTGCTTAATGTTTACCCAACTTCTGAATTCGTCTTTCCCTCTAATATCTCTGTTTCTCCCAGAAAAGCTACCTAAATCTTTAACCAATATCTTCAACCTAGATAGTCCTATCTCAGGGGTTTAAAAATAGCCCACACTTATTCAGACACACCCTAGCAAGAAATTTAACCTAGCAATCTCTTGAGGGGAGATAATCTCTTCATTTGTGCCCCTTTCACAGAACTCACACAGCAACACGCAGAATAAACCTTAACTTCCTAACAAAAGGAAAATATTTTTTGTCTAATTCAAAGGTTACTTAAAGGTTATATATAGGCTGGGCATGGTGACTCACTCCTGTAATCCCAGCACTTTGGGAGGCCAAGGCGGGTAGATCACCAGAGGTCAGGAATTCAAAACCAGCCTGGCCAACATGGCAAAGCCCTGTCTCTACTTAAAAAAATACAAAAATTAGCTGGGTGTGGTGGCACACACCAGTAGTCACAACTAATTGGGAGGCTGAGGCAGAACAATTGCTTGAACCCATCAGGTAGAAATTGCAGTGAGCCAAGATTGTGCCACTGCATTCCAGCCTGGACAATAGAGTGAGACTCCATATCAGGAAAAAAAAAAAAGGTTATATATAAAACAAGGTAAAAGGAACCAGGAAATAAGAGAGATGTAAAGAATGACATAAAGGTGAAGGCCAGGTGCAGTGGCTCATGTCTATAATCTCAGCATTTTGGGAGCCTAAGGTGGTAGATCACTTGAGGTCAGGAGTTCAAGACCAGCCTAGCCAACATGGTAAAACCCAATCTCTACTAAAAATACAAACATTAGCCAAGCATAGTGGCATCTACCTGTAGTTTCAGCTACTTGGGAGGCTGAGGCATGAGAATCACTTGAACCCAGGAGGCAGAGGTTGCAGTGAACCGAGATTGCATCACTGCACTCCAGCCTGGGCAATAGAGTAAGACTGTCTCAAAAAAAGAAGAAGAAGAAAAAGTTTGTAAAGGTAAGGAGATATTTTTGGTAAGGAGACTTATAAAGAAAGAGATTTTATGTAAGAAAGGATCTTGTGTTGTAAATTCTTGTTGTAAAGTAAAATGACTAATTGTTAAGAAAGAGAGATGTTGGCTGAGCACAGTGGCTCATGCCTGTAATCCCAGCACTTTGGGAGGCCAAGGCAGGCGGATCACCTGAGGTCAGGAGTTCGAGACCAGCCTGGCCAACGTGGTTTAACCGTCATTACTAAGAATACAAAAAATTAGCTGGGCATAGTGCCAGGTGCCTGCAATCCCAGCTGCTTGAGAGGCTGAGGCAGGAGAATTGCTTGAACTTGAATGTGGAAGGCAGAGATTGTGGTAAGCCAAGATCACACCACTGTGCTCCAGCCTGGGCAACAAAAGCAAAACTCCATCTCAAAAAAGAAAAAGAAAAGATATATATATATATATTTAGGAGAAGTCATAAAGTCTAAGCGTGTCATAGATGGTGTAAGTCATGAGAAAATTCATGAGAGAAATTTATTAAAAAGAATGTTGTATGTAACTAAGGTATAGTAGTCCAAAATTGGTTCCCCATGCTGTGTCTATTTAAATTCAAATGCTTTTCATCAAGAAACTTCCAGGTTATCTAAAAGGGCTTTCAATAAGGAAAAACAGACAGACTTCAAAAGATGTTTCTTCAACTTTTCAGTAACTGGCTTAAGAAACAAAATTTTATCTTCTGGAATTCAGCAGTTTCACCTTCAAATGATGTTGTTAATGGGCCATCAGTCTCTCCCTAATGATGGCTGCTACCTTTACACGTCTACCCGGAATTCAGCTGGATACCAGTTTTGCCTTGACATGCTCCCTCCTCTGATGAGACCCTTCCTCCGGCAAAATCTAATACTCTATATCCCACAATCCAGGACAATGATCCACAGGGTCCCTTAACAGATCAACAATTCTAGGTAGGGAAAATTCTATGCCCCTGGTCAGCGGGAAGCAGTTGGAAGGTGAGACCTCTACCCAATGCCAAAGATTTGTCATTGTTGTTCTGTCAGGGGTGGAATGTAGCGTCCTGATAAGTAAGCAGCAATGAGGAAGGGGCGCAGTGGCTCAAGTTGGTGAGGACCCCAGGTGGGGAAGAACAATGAACAACTGTTCTGAGAGACAGCTAATCAAACAACCCAAGGCCACAACGACCTCTGTGGGCACAATGACCTCATTCCATAGGCAGCCCCTCTAGCACAACCCTGTAAAACTTCCCTCTAGTCCCTGCCTCTTTGCAGACAGCCCTTTCCTGTTGTGATGCCCATGGCAACCTTGCAACATATTTTCATACTTTCTCTAATAAATCTCCCTTTCTTTACTTACGACTTTCTTGGTAAATACCCTTACCTCCCATGACACTGGCCCTGGCTAGTCACTATCCAAGACAATATGGAGGTCCCTCAAAAAAACTGCAAATAGAACTACCATATGACCTAGCAATCCCACCACTGGATATTTATCCAAAGGAAAGGAAATTGGTATATTGAAGAGGCCTCTACACTCCCATGTTTACTGCAGCACTATTACAATAGCCAAGATACAGAATCAATCTAGGTGTCCAACAATAGATAAATGGGTAAAGAAAATGTGATATATGTACACAGTGAAATATTATTTTGGCATTAAAAAGAATAAAATCCTGTGATTCACAGTAACAGAACTGGGAGACATTCTGTTAAGTTAGATAGGCCAGGAACAGAAACTTAAACACTGAGTGGTCTTACTCATATGTGGAAGCGAAAAATGTTGATCTCAGAAGTAAAAAGTAGAACAGAGGATACTAGAGGAGAAGGGACATAGGGAGAGATTTATTAAAGGAAACAAAATTACAGCTAGATAGGAGGAATAAGTTTCAGTGTCCTATACCACATTAAGATGGCTATGGTTAACAATGATACATAGTTTCAAATAGCTAGAAGGAGGATATTGAGTGTTCCTAACATAAATAAATGAAAAAGTCTTTGAGGCAATGGATATGCTAATTAGCCTGATCTGATCACTATACATTGTTACATATTAAAACATCCCTCTGCACTCCATAAATATGTGTAATTATTATGTGTCCATTTTTAAAAGTTACTAAACAATGTAGGGGAATTGTTCTCCTTGGCAGTTACTACAGAAAAAAAAAAAAAAAAAGTCTTTAGAAAAGCAACATGCCACATAGTGAACGTTACCTCCCAAAATTACAATATCATGAGACAAAATAAGGGAGAGTTGCTGTCAGTCAGTTTGTCCCTAGTAAAGACAACTAACCACTGAGCAAACGAACTGCACAGCCTTGCCTTACTCAAAGAGTGTTGTCCGCCTGCAATGCCAAGTCCCCTCAATCTGTCCGCGCACTGCTGTGCAACTCTGGGCTCTCGGACGTTTTTAGGCATACAAGTCCATGTAACCACTCTAAGCCATGCCTCTTAAAATAAGCCTTCATTTTTCCTTCTTAAGCCACTAAATACAGACTGGTAGGTTACATGGCTTCTGTGACACAGTCCAGGTCACATCAGTTAACCTTCTACACGAATGGGACCCTGGAGGTCCTTACTCCTGCTCCCTTCTTCAGACTGGGTTATACTTAAACCTTCATACATCGGCCTTTCCCAAGGTCAGGGCTGTGCTGAGGTATAATAAGTATGGCCAGTAGCCTAGCTCTCTTGGGAGGTTTAAGTCTCGGGTTCCTAAAGGTTAAATATTGGCTTGCCTATAATGGGCAGAAGAAAAACAGTGGTATAACTATGTGAAACGATGGCTATGTTAATCTGCTTCACCATAGTAAACTTTTTACTATCTACATGTATCTACAGCATTGTGTTGTATATCTTAAATACACATAATAAAATTTGTTTTAAAATAAAATTTAAAACTGTCTTCTAAAAATAAAAACAGTGAAGGAAGAGCTCTTCCATGAGCTCAAGGACAGCCAGTCACAGCTCTACCAAAACCTAGAGATGACCTAAAAGCTGAAGTCTTAGCATCGTCATTGTCATATACTCATTATGAGCAAACTTTGCTCCTCTTTTAGCTGAGCAGATTCACCTAAGTTACTCTACACGACAGTAACTGAAACAGCACCCACTAGACTACTCTATGACATCCCCTGCAGAGATCAAGAGTTCTGCAATTCACAATCCTGAGAGACTGCCAATTCAACCAGCCTTCAGAACTGGCACACTTCTGAATGAGAAAAGTTGGTTTAAGAGGTAAGGGCTTAAGAAATTCAAAGCAACTGCTTACCCAAGATGAAGAGCACCCAGGAGAAGCAATGCACTGAAATCTTCCCACAGATGCAGTTCCCAAGCTCAACTGAAAGGCATCTGTGAGCACTCTAGGTTAGGCTCAGAGCAAACCAAACGCGTGCCTTCTGAAGTGGCTGCAGAGATGCAAACAGGAACTCTAAATTAAGTTTCTCGTTTCAGTCATCTAGCCCATTACCCAATTTTTATGTGTACTTTCATTCTAAAAGGAGGCAACAAATTTAACATACTGAGGTGGACCTTACACTCAGACCTCTTCAGGTGCCATCTCCTACCTCTGAGGGTAGGAACTTGAATGGCACCAGGCATACAATAGGTGCTGAGAAAGAAATCAGTTTCATGAAAACAAAATACAATAAATTTAATATTAACAAAAAATATTCTGTGTTTAAGATACACAACCTCTATTTTTCCTCTCAAAACAGAGGCGCAACCTTGCCAGGCAATCACCCAACCCCTGCTTCCAAAGATATGCCTGCCCAGTCCTCCAGCTCACCACCTACACATGGTAGTTTCTTCTGGTCATGTGGTATCAGCTTTTCCAGAATACAGGAAGCAATTTATTCTCACAGAGAACCTCTTGGGTGACTTGGACATCCTAGATAAGAACTCAAGGCTTCTTCACTTCAAGATACCTCTCAGTCACCACTTCAAAATAAGTGTTTTCAATGTACACATCTTCAATCTTGACCTAGGCATGGGCAGACTCATCTTATGGAACTTGTCCTGTAGCATCTGAAAAGCTGTTGAATGTTTGCTCCCAAGTACTACGCTACATGGTCCTTGAGAACTGATGTGCTGGACAGCCAGCAATCTTCACAGCATAAATATCCCCATCATGGCCTATTTCAAGCTACCAACTGGTTTGCGAAATTCCTAAAAATTTAATATGGGTGGAGTATCCCTTATCCAACATTCTTGGGAGAAGAAGTATTTCAGATTTCATTTTTTTTTTCAAATTTTAGAATATTTGCCAAAAATATACCAGTTGAACATCCCTAATCTGAAAATCCAAAATGCTCCAATAACCATTTCTTTGGAGCATCGTGTTGGCACTAAAAGTTTCAGGTTTTGGAGTATTTCAGGTTTTGCATTTTCAGATTAGGGATACTCAGCCTGTAATCAGCTCTTGCTATGTGAGCTGGTTCCAGCACACCACGGAATCTCCGCAGGTTCTTGCTGGGGTACAGCCCAGACATGACTGGTTACATGATGCTGAAAACCACTGTTAAATCAGTCTTAGCCTAAACCTGCCTCCTTACGTATTTTAAGTTTGGGCTAAAGGTTTTTCTGTACATTATGAACTGCAACCTAAATGGAATAGCATACAGACTGTAGTCTACTCTTATGTCGATCATGGAGTTTGGCCAATCGAAGACAGCCAATGGCTCAAACTGTTCAAATAAGGCAAACACCGAGCTGTAACCAATCCGGCTGTTTCTGTATCTCACTTCTGTTTTCCGTACATCACTTTCCTTCTTCTGCCCATAAATCTTCTACCACATGGCTGCACTGGAGTCTCTGAGCCTACTCTGGCTCAGGGGACTGCCTGATTCATAAATCATTCCGTGCTCAATTAAACTCTTTTAAATTTAATTCAGTTCAAGTTTCTCTTAACACCACAAACCCTCATCTCTTTCACATGACAACTCCCACTTTATATGTAGATATCCACACACAAAAAGGTAGCCAAAGGGTGCAAAGAAGTTTATTAACTAAGATGCAGTAAAGACACCAAGAGGTACAAATCTGTGCATATGCCTCAACAGTGCCTACCCTCCTACAAAAAACAAAAACAAAAAAGGCACTGAGGTGCGGCAGTTAACAGCCGAACACTGGAGTCACAGAAATGGAGCTGCCTCTTCTGGCAGCGAAGTTTCAAGTTGTGCAATTAAAGAATAGTCTTGGCCCACTCCTTATGGTCTTCTTCCAGTTTCCCTTTAGAACCATAACTGAGTGACTTAGCAGAGCATTCATATTCAGGATGTGGCCTCCAGAAGGGTCATTTTGTTTGGTTCCGTTTTGTTTTTAACAAAGACATGCTACCTTCTCTCCTGAAGCACCAGTGCTGAGTTCAGGAGCTGCAGGGGACTAAGATGTTCTCCAAGTAGCCTGAAGTAGCAGGTCACATGGAAAACACAAAGCAGTCGACAAGTTCACATTTTGTAATAGAATTAAGAGCTTAATGCATACAACTCCAGGTAATGTAACCACAAGTAAAAACGTCAGCAGCTAAAGAAAAATTCTGAAAGGTTTTTAACCCCTTCTGAACTAAGTTCCCTTTCTAAAAGAAGCTGGTTTCCAGGGGTATGACAAGAGCCCATGGAGTAGCAAAGAGAGCGAACAGCACCTTAGAAGTTATTCAACAACAGGTGAAACAAACAAGTAAACAGCAAACCACTGTATCTTCCTTTCATCCTTAAAGAAGGCAGGTGTCTGTACACTGCTTTGGGACCCTTTGAAGAATAAAAAGCTGTAACTCAAATCTCAGTATGAGGGATAAAGAAGGAAAAGGGTAGCAGCCAGTGACTGGGATGCGATTATAAACCCATGAAGTCAACTAAACTAAGTAAACTAAATTGTCAACGTACTCCCTTACCATGAAGGACTCTATTGTTCAGTCATTTAAAAAGGAAGGGACTCCTGGTTCTTAATGCCTCTTAAACCACTTAAATTCAAAGGAGAACAGGAATCATTCTAAGCAGGAAAATACTTCCACTTTTTTTAAGTATCTCTCTAATAACTAAATGCCACTTACTTGCATTCCCCTCCTTGTGGATTTTTTTGTCACCTAAGGAAATGCATTTGATGAGTGCTGGAAACTTCTTAAGCGGTTTACAGTTTGTTTTCGTTGTTTGCAGCGGATCACTGGACATCAAAGATTCATTGCACTTATGAACAAGGAACCTTCTTTTCAATTTCTGTGTAATTTGCAAGGCTGTACAATGTGTGCTGATGCAAGCCTTTTTCAGTTCAAGAGAATAAATGTTTACAAATATAGAAAAAAAAAAAAAAAAGGAAGGGACTCGTTCGAGTCATGATTAAGGCTACAAAATAACATGACTGAGTATTCCTAGAGCACCAACTACCTCAAGTTTAGACTAGGTGTCCGTCTACAAACATACCACCATGCAGTAATCTTCACAACACACCTGCAAGGACTTTGCAAGAAGGCCCAGCCAAAATTGGTTCCTCATTTAATGAGACGTGGCTTTCAGTGAGTTCCTGTGACATTATCTCTTTCTCGGAGAAATGAGGACACACAGAAAGTTCCCCTCGCAGTTAGCTCTCTATCTTCCAGCCTCTGAGAGATCTGAATCATTCGCCCTCATTGCTGCAGTTGCTTTCCTGTCTCTGTTGAGGTGTCGGAAACGGTCACGGGAGATCGGCCTGCGACAACCGCAGAAGTTAACAAGCGGCCCAAAGTACTGTGAGGTTTAACCACTGGAAGTGTCAACTGCTGGTCCTGTCTTTGCCTCTTCTACTTCCTCGCGTGACCAGAGTCAAATCACAATATCCTCCAACGAAACAGATTTGCTAATCCATGGACCAGGTTAATAGCAGAGACCAGGCCAAATCTATGAGACAGATCTAACAACCCAAATGTTTTAAATTAGATCATGGCAAAAAGAGAGAGAGAGAGAGAGAGAGAGAGAAGTGGTTTCTAAACTAACATATACACTCTAAAATGCTGTAATATGGAAACTTCCTGAACCACCTAATGAAAACCATGAAAAGGGATCAACCCCCTCATAGAGACCAGTGAGGGGATAATTTTTGTCTCTCATAATTGAGAAGTGAACCCGATCACTATTACAGAGGACCATTTATATATGCACTATCCATATTTACTGATATGCTATCCATATGCCTTAATGGCTTATAAAAAGTCCCATGTAAATTAAATTTTGAAACAAGCTGTTATAGCAGAATGGAGTAAGCTGTTATAAGGCACTAAGAGAACAGAAAGGAGAACTATGCTATGCACAATCTCACTTCCTCATCTCAAATATTATGAAAAAACAGCTTGCAAGTACTCATAGTTTACTCATAGTTGGCACATTTTAGAAATCAACAACGTTTTGAAAAACAATACAAATGAAAACATGTTGTAATTGCAAAGAACTCCCGAAATACTCTATAAGCCCCTACTAAAAACCTGTAAAGAATTTTTCTTGCCTCTGATTGAAAAGTCAAGAAGAAAAGTAGTAGCTATAAAAGACTCCTTGGCCCAAATTGTACCAGCAAGACTAAAGAAAATAATTATTCTACCTCACTATTCCCTTCCTTAATTGTAAATTGATGACATTGTATTTAACACTTTAAAAACCCAATCACAGCAAACCAATGATTTGATCCTACCAACTTTAAAGAAACTAAGAGTATACACTCTAAGTTATCCAAAAACTGAGGTTGAGGTCATTAAACCAATGGGTATATGCCCTATACTACTCACAGCTGAAAGTGTACATGGAGCAAAAAACAAAGAATACCATCCCAAGCAGATATTTTGTCTGGTGACAAATCAGGAAGCCACAAGCTCCACTTCATTTAGAAAGTGATTTTGGCATCAGCGGTGTGGCATGCATGCAGGCTTCTCCTTCGAACAGCTGGAGGAAAACGTAACACATTCCAGAGCAAAGATGAACCAGAAAGTATCTTTTTGCTTAGGAAAAGAATTTCTTCATTCAATTACAGCATAATTTCTTGAAAGGGGAAGTCATGAGTCTCTTATGAGAGTTCCTGAACAGTTCATAAATACAACAAAACATTTATTCAATAAATAAGCTGGTCCTAAAGTCTGTACTGATGATCTCCAGGACTGTCCATCGCTATGGTCCAGGCCAGCTCCACTTCTCTGACAGGCCGTAGCTGCCAGTGGAATGGGATGTTTCCTGTTATTAGGTGACTCTTCTTATGACATGCAGACTTTCATCAATATGTCTCTTCATAGTCTGAATCCTGGAGGGAGAAAAACAGTAGGTGTGAAACACAATTCCACAGTCGGAATTTAGGCAAAGACCAAATGGAACCTGGCTTGGGACACAACCACAGTGAAATGCCACTGACTCAGTACACCTAAATTCCCATGGAGTTTCACAGGACCTCAATATAATTGGTGTCTATGGGGCTAATTTCTGCTCTGAAGCCCTAGTGATTTCCTTTCCCTTGGTGAATATTTTTTAAAACCTCCACACACAGGCACATTTTCTTAACACTACAAGCATCAGTGGAATCACCCCAGCAATCCTTTCCTCACTCTCTTGCAGAAATGTGCAAATTTGTGGTTAGGAGTTTAGACTAGGTGTCAATCTAGTCAATCTGAGTTCACCTCTTGCTGGCTGCATGACCATGGATAAAGTTATCAACTTCCCTAAGCCTCAGTTTCCTCATCTGTAAAATGGGATAATAAAAATACACCTTATAGAACTGTTACGAGAATTGAATGAGATAAGACATGTAAATTACTTAGCACTGTGCCTGGCACTTTGTAAGCACTCATTCGAGACTAGCTCCTGTTACCATTATTATTATCCAAACTCATGTTCATTACTTCTAACTTCAAGTGAGCCATTAGTATTATCTGGCATACCACATTTCTCTGATCTATTCGTTCTCCTTCATGACTATTTCATACCCTTCCCTCTTTCCCCAAACTTCTAACACCTCCTCTTCCCATCATTCTCAGCTGAGAGGCCTCAGTAGGGAGTTTCCATAAGCTCCATCATAAGTGGCCACTCATCTGCATCCTGACCCATCTATTTGGCCTTCCCTATTGTTCTTATGCACTCTCCCTGCCTTCATCTAAGTTCATCATCTCCATTTATGCACTAGATCCTAGCATTACCCAAGCAATCCTCTCCACTCTCTCTTGCAGCACCAATTTTTCCTTCTCTACTACATAATTCCTATCTGCAAACAAACGTGTTCAATTTCTCCCATCTTAAAAAGAAAAGTCACCCATGACAACACCCTCTATGTAATGCCTGTCTCTCTGTATTCCTTCACAGTAAAATTCCTTGGAAGAGTTGTTTATACCCACTGTCTCCAATGTATTTTTCTGCAATCGTTCTTTACCCCACCCCAGACAGGTTTTCATTCCCACTATTCCACTGAAGCTCCTTTTGCTGAGGTCACCAATGACCTCCATATTCCCAAATCATCCAATAATCAATTATCAGCTCTCATTTCACTTCACCTGACTCCACAGTAAATGATACAGTTAATCACTCTCTTCCTAGAAATACTTCTTCACTTGACTCCCAGGATACCAAAATCTCTTTACTAGTAATTCTTCTTCATCACCCCATCCAAGAAATCTTGGAGGGCTACAGGCTCTGTCCTTTGACCCTTCCCTATCTACACTCATTTCCCTGGAGGAAATGTCTCTATCACTCACTATCTGCTAATGGTTCCTAAATCTGTATCTCTAGTCTAAACCTCTCTTCTGAACTCCACACCCATAAATGCCTACTCCACATCTCCACTTAGAAGTTTAATAAGTATTTCAAACTATGTCCAAACCCAACTTCTGATCTTCCTCCTAAAATCTGATTCACCCACAGACTTCCACATATTAGCAAATGGTAACTCTACTGTACCAGTAGCTTTAGTCAAGAATCTTGGAATTATCCTTGAGTCCCCTCATTTTTTCAAACAGAAATGTAAAAGCAGTAAATCCTTCTGGCTTTGCCTTCAAACTATAATCAAAATACAACCACTTCTCACCACCTCCACCACCATCACCCTGGTCCAAACTACCAGCATCTTCAGCTATCTGGATTAACGCAGATGCCTCCTAACTGGACTCTCTGATTCTGTCGTTGTTCCTTACCACTTACTCTCAAGACAAAAACCAGAGTAATATTTTTTAAACAGACATCAGTTGAGAGTGCTTCTCTTCCCAAACCCTCCAATGGATTCCATTTCACTGAGTAGAAGTCCAGGTCATTACAATCATCTATAAGGTTCTGTAAGATCTAGCTGATGCATTACTTCTCTGATGTCAACAACTACTATTCTTTGCCTTGCTGTCTTCATTCCTGCCATACTGCCCCCTAGCTACTCAAAGAACATGCCTATCACGGCCCCTCCTCAAAGCCTTTGCACCTGTCATTTCTTCTGCCTGAAATGTTCCCTGGCAATAGCTATATGGCTTGCTTCTCTTAGGTGTTTGCTTGAATATTTTCTCACTGAAGTTGTCCCTAACCTATTTAATATCATACCCCCTATCCAGCCATCCCATCGCCCTTTTCTACTTTTTTTCCTCATATACTGTATATATACCATCTCATATACAATATATTTTACTTATTTTTTAAAGCTTTGTGAGTATTTGTACCCTAATTCAAGAGGTGACATTTCAGCAGAGTCTTAGAGGATAAGAAAGAGTTTTCCAGGCAGAGAACGTTCAGTACTCTGAGGGCAGGAATTTTTGTCAGTTTTGTTCCCTGCCATTTCCTAAGCACCTAGAACAGTATACATGGCATGCGACAGATGTTCAACAAATCACTGTTGAATGGATTAAGGTCTGAAATGTGGATAATAATTGTATGAATATTAACTTATTTTGTGTTCTTGAAGTAAGGACCTAATACCAACCTTTGGAGGTTGGTATTAGATTCCATTTTATCGAATACCTGGCATTATCAACCTTTCTCTTATCTCTATGATACTCAAGTGCATGAGAGAAAGAGAAACAGAAAACACTGCAATTAGTCATGGAGCCACCTGTGAGCTTGGCAACAAGTACACAGGGGGCAATGACAGGTATGTATCATATGAGATCAGAAGTTCCTTGTGATCTGGTTTCAACTACACCACATCAGAGAGTCTTCCCTCCTGCTAGGATCCTAGGACAGCCACTCAAGCCTCCTAACTGGAATATCTGATTCTGTTATCAGTTACACCAAGTACCCAAAGCAGGAGGGATGACAACCTTTTGACATTCAAATCAAAACTTGGACCTTCCAGTGTGATATTTCTTATTGATAAAAGACATCAAGTTACCTAAAAGGTTCTATCACTCTAACTCCTGAAAAATACTACAGCTCAGTAGAAAAGTTAAATTCAGGGTCAGTTCCAGCCAGTCAGTCTCCTAGTATGAATTCAGTGGCATAGGACACTCTTGTTTTGGGATTTTGTCAGTCTGCAGAAACTACTCTACACAGCCCCCTTTCCCTAACCTAAGACTACCACTCTATGCCCATGAGACAGGAAACAAAATCATGGTTAGAATTGGTAGGGGTCCCCTGAATCCAAAATGCTTTGAGGGAAGATGCTGGCTTATACCTTGCTTGGACCTACGTGTATATCCTCTGCTGCCTCTGAAGGCATAGGATGGATCCTCTTAGGTAAGCAGGAAAGTGAGACATCAACAGTGAGCAGAAGGAACAGCATGCACTTACCAGGCACTCGGCGCAACGGACGCAAAGCCTCGCCATGCACGCATCTTCCTCCTCCTGATCAGTGCTGTAGAAAGAGGACAAACCAAATCTGAATCACCACTATCCTCAATAGCATAGGGCAGTTAAAAGTACAGGTGTTGAAATCAGACGGGTCTGGTTTTAGATTCCAGTTCTTCCACTCGCTAGCTGGGTGACTGGGCAAATTGTTTAAGCCCGAGAAGCCTGTTTCCTCATCTATAAAATCCACATATTGGCCAGGCACAGTGGCTCATGCCTGTAATCCCAGCACTTTGGGAAGCTGAGGTGGGTGGATCACCTGAAATCAGGAGTTCAAGAGCAGCTTGGCCAACATAACGAAACCCTGTCTCTACTAAGCACACAAAAATTAGCTGGGCATTGTGGTGCACACCTGTAATCCCAGTTACTGAGGAGGCTAAGGCAGGGAATCGTTTGAACCCAGAAGGCAGAGGTTGCAGTGATCTGAGATTGCACCACTGCATTCCAGCCTAGGCAACAGAGTGAGACCCCCATCTCAAAAAACAAACAAACAAACAAAACGCACATATTGCCACCCACCCTTAAAGCATAGTTCTTAGGCGTAAATAAAAAATAAATGTGAAACATGTACCATAGTGCCTGGCACATAATAAGTGCTCAGTAAACAGGAGCTAGTCATAGTCACTCATTCAGAAGTGTACTGAGCACCAACAATGTCTGAGCAATGTGCTGGCCTAGAGGTAAAAAGAAAAATAAAACTTGACCCTGTGAAGAGCTCATGATGGGGGTGAGAGACCAGTTAAAACTTAACAAATATGTTATAATGCCATGTGATAAGTGTTTTAACAGACTTAAGGTCAAACTGCTGCACCAGCGAAGAGTGGGGAGTGACTAATTGTCCTCTGAGGACTCAGGGAAACTCAAGAGAAGGGGCTATTTCAGCTAGGTCTTGGAGGATAAGAAAGAATTTCCAGTCAAACAAGAGAAGGAAGGAGGGCATTCCAAGCAAGACGAAAGGTGGGGTCTGAGAGGATGAGAAAGAGGAAAAATATTTAAATTAAATATAATATGTTAGGGCAAAAAAAAAAAAGCAAAGTTCATGGCAGCTGGGATGTACAGAGACAGGAGGGAACAATGTGACTTAAAGTAAGATCATCGGGGGTTTTATACGCCATGCTTAGAAACAGACATTAGTATTTTTACCAAGAGTTCTTTGCCTTTTTTGAGCCACAGATTCCTTGGAAAGGGCACAGGATACTCTCTTATCATTAAATGAATGCACACACACACACACACACACACACACACACACACACACACAGAGAGACAGAATTTTGGACCTTCTCAATGTAAGACTCCCCTCCCCTGACATAGACTATGGAGAACAGGGGTTTTATGTAGCCTTTTGTTTTGATTTCCTTCTACACATTTGTTTTTAGGGAACATACTAGGTCATGCCTGCTCACTGGCAGAATAATGCTTAATAAATCTTTTTGATACACACGATCCATGTAGCCCCTCCCTTCAGAACATATGCTGACCAAGAATAGATCTTGCTTATTCAAATCGCTTTTGCCCTCCACAGCTGTTCTTAAAGCCTCTCTCATTGCTCAGGCATTTTCCATCAGGAGGTATCATCAGCTTAGTGCCAAAAACAAGGAGAAGGAAAAATAATTGACCTGGAATTGAAAGAATGAAACATTGACTTCAGAGTTTATTCAGAGCCATGGCATTGTACAATCTGATTTCCAAAGCAGAAGACTAGGACCATATTTCAACTCCCCCATCTCTCTCCAAATTAGCATTCACATGCTTCACTTTCAACCTTCCTTTTGGCATCCCTTAGCAGAACTATTCTCTTCAAAAAGAAATTTCACCAGCAGAACTAAACTCAGTTCAGAAGAAAGAGAAATGTGGATGTAGGGGTCTGGATAGGGTGCTAAGGATGAAACGGGCTTGCTGCCCAGGGCTCCCACCGGACTTACTCATCTGAAACCTCAATAGATGACTTCTTATAGCCAGACCTGCTCCTCTTCTTCAGCCCAGCAGCCTTCCTCCCCATTCTCACCAGCAGCAGAGCAACCACCACAGCTGAGGGCACGAAGACAAGGATGGAGAGAAGGGCCACAGAGGAGAGCATGGTGCCAAAACCTAGAGGTGGAGAGAGAGAGAAGGTAAAAGACATGGATGTGCAAACCTGCCTCCTGTGATGTGAGCTAGGTTCTATGTTTGTTCTTATATTTCTTCTCATTACAAAAGTAATAAGACATTGTGTAAAAGGTAGAAAATACACAAAAGTACAATGAAGAATAAAAATTTACTCGTAATCCCACTACCTACGAAGAACACTTTGGTATCTACCCATTTAATCTTCTTCTAGGGGTACTGGGTATAGGGTGCATGGCGGGGGCATATATATTTTTAAGTATGGATCATATTTACATATTATTTTTAACCTTCTTTTTAAATGTATTATATGACAAATATTTAACAATTCCTTCCACATATGATGTGTAATGGCTGCATAGGATTCTATCATATTGAATAATTCATGGAACTAATCCTCTAATGCTGGACATTCAAGTTGTTGCTAATTCTTAGAATCTACAAGTTACATTAGGATGGCCATGCTTGTACATAATCTTCATGTTTAGCTCTAATTCTTTAGATGAAATTTACAATGGAATTACCAGATCAAAGGGCCTATACTTTTAAGACACCTAATTTCATACTACCAAACTGCCTTCCAGAAAAACTGTATCATTTTCTTCTTCTGCCAGCAGTATGAATGTGCTCATCTTTGAAACCTACAAGTTATTATTTTAAAAGAAAAGAAAAAAAGAGAAAGAGAAAGAAGAAATAAGAGAGGGAGAGAGGGAAGGAAGGAGAAAGGAAGGGAAGATGGGAAAGAGAATGGAACGGAGGGAGGGAGAGAAGCAGGAAAGGAGGGAGGAAGAGAGACTTGAAAAAGACTTAAGAAATGATGACTCATCTATAATGAGCCATAATGTACCTCTAAATCTTTGGTTCAAATCCAGTTAAGGACTAGAATGATCACTGAAGTTGTCACCAGGGAATAATGGAGAAAAAAAAAAATCAGTCCCTAATCTACTGTCCTCCTGTTTCACACTAAAGGGAAACTACCGTTCTTTGCAGTATAAAAGAAATGCACTAGCTCTCATCATTAGAGGGGGTGCCCTTTCAAGACACAGGCAAGAACACTACCTCATAACTGCAAGTATGAACATGCTAGGAAAACTGGACTGACTTCTATTTCACAGAGACAACAACCCTATACTTACTCACGGATTTTCCATACATTCTGCAAGACTTTTGGTCACCTAACGTTAAAACTAAAAAAAGGTCATGGAGAAACTATGATAACATTTGAAGTGGAAATTCCATTTTCAAAATAAAGATTAAAAATGTATCCCAACATACATATCAGGACGGCAGAAAAATTACTTTGACTCAATGATTTAATTACCCAACTGGCTTACAAAGATAGACAGCTTTGTTTATCATCAGACTCTCCAGAAAGCACGAAAGCAGTCACAGGGCACTGCAGAAGGTTGGTGACAGTGAGCTTACCCCTTTCTGTGACTGTTAGCTCTGTCATGGGAATATTATGGTGCACATCTGGGGGATTCTTCACAGCACAGCTGAATGTCCCATTGTCCTTTATGGTAGGGTCGCTTATACTAATAGATGCATCCCCTTTGTATACATTTCCAACCCAGGAAATCCGATCCCGAAATGTGCCTGCTGTGGTTGGGTACTGGAAAGACTGATAATGAAAGATCTAAGAAAGCAATACCATGAGAGAAAAAGTTAATTTGGAAAAATGCAATGAAAACATAAAGCTCAGTAGATCCAAAATAAAATACGATTGCATAATGGGTTTTTTTTCTCAGTTGGGCAACATCTTATGCTTTTTTAACCTGCATCCTATATGTTAATACAACTGATCAGAAAAAGGCTCAGTGAGAGGCTTCTGGGATCCTAACCCTTGAATCTCTTCTACATTCTCCCTGGAAACCTAACATAATAGTTCTCAACCAGAGATTTCACACTCCAAGAGGCATTGGCAATATCTGAAGACATTTTCAATTGTCACAACTGGGGAAATGCTACTGGCATTTAGTGGGTAGAGGCTGGGGATGCTGCTAAACACAGCAAAGAATTATCCAGCTCAAAACGTCAACAGTACCAAAATTGGGAAACTTTGTTCTAAAGCAGCATCTCATATTTGAATGGCACTCTAGAGTTCGTAAATAATTTTCACACATTTACTCACTTGAGCCTCATAACACTGAACTACGTGAGGCAGACATAATCATTCCAAATGTATAAAAAGGCAAACAGGGCAGGCATGGTGGCTCACACCTGTAATTCCAGCACTTTGGGAGGCCAAGGTGAGCATATCACTTGAACTCAGGAGTTCAGGATCAGCCTGGCCAACATGGTGAAACCCTATCTCTACTAAAAATACAAAAATTAGCCGGGCATGGTGGCACACACCTGTAATCCCAGCTACTTGGGAGGCTGAGACATGAGAATTGCTTGAACCCAGGAGGTAGAGATTGTAATGAGCCAAGATTGTGCCACTGCACTCCAGCCTGGGCAACAGAGCTAGACTCCACCTCAAAAAAAGAAAGAAGAAAGAAAGAAAGCAAAAGCCAAAAACAAAAGACTAAGGGAGTTACTCTGAGGTATACAACTAGTAAGTGACAAAAAGGAGATTTTTGTTTATTCTCAAAATCACAAGGAGGGTAATGCAATTCAGCCTCTCTCAAGTCATCTACCTTGACAATTAATATAATCCCTAAGTCTAATACCTGATAAGTACTCAACGAATATGTCTTGAATTAAAATAATGCTGCTTAGGACTTGGTGATCAGACACTTCATCACAAAAAAAAAGCGTAATTATACCTGGAGGCAGGCCAGACAGGTATTACAATACAAAATGACTTACGAAATATGACTTATGCAAAATACAGGCTTTCCTCTTTCTTTGTTACTTGGTAGCTTCCCATTTAGGAACCTGGGTGTTTACAACCACTGAATTGCCCAATTTTGAAAAGCAACTTCCTGGAGAAGATGCTGACTCATTTATTTGTTCATTTGTTCATGCATTCCTTCAACAAATATTTGGTGCAGACCTCGAATGTGCTAGGCATTGTTAAGTAAGAGTCACACAGGTATACTCCCTACTCTCACGAAACTTACATTTTAGTGATAAAGGCAGATAATAATAAATAATAGGCCAGGCACAGTGGCTCACACCTGTAATCCCAGCACTTTGGGAGGTTGAGGTGGGTGGATCACAAGGTCAAGTGTTCGAGACCAGTCTGAACAACATGGTGAAACCTCGTCTCTACTAAAAATACAAAAATTAGCCAGGCATGGTGGTGCACACCTGTAATCCCAGCTACTCAGGAGACTGAGGCAGGAGAATCGCTTGAACCCAGTAGGCAGAAGTTGTAGTGAGCTGAGATCACACCACTGTACTCCAGCCTGGGCAACGGAGTGAGACTCCATCTCAAAAAAGAAAAGAAAAGCATAAGTGTGTTGAACATTTCAAAGCGGGAGGTAAAGAATCCCTAGCACTAATTATCAGCATCAGTGTAAAAGAGTTTAAAACTCCTTATTGACAAAACCTGGCCCACTGTATAACCTCAAAATTAGTCTAGCCTGTAAATTCAATGTTAAGTTCATGAAACTGAAATCCTTGCTAATTGATTAATCTGACACAATCCTGATTGATTAACCCATGACTGCAACATCATGTTATATAACTTTAATTTCAACTTGTGTGAGTTTGCTGATTTTCTGACCAGCCTCGCAGAGAGAAGCACTAGAAGAGAACTGTTGTTTCTGACCCAGGAAGCTCCCCATTGCTTGCTCTGTCCTATTTTTGACCAAGGAGGCAGAGACAAATAAGGCCAGCCACAGTTTCCTGACCATTCCGAATCAAGTGAATTATTTCAGGTCTGAAAAAGGGGGGTAGGGGAGGACCATGAATACAGTCTAGCTTTTTTCACTGGAGTCCCCTGCCTAGCCCCAAGCTATATGGCATTCTATAATGGCTCCTAACACAGAATGCAAAGCTTACTTATACATGAAAGTCAAAGAGGACATTTTTCCAAGAAGAAAACAGGATAAATAAATTAACAATACTTTCAAAAATACAATCTTACATAGAGCTATGACATTCACATTCTTGAATAACATCTATCCTGAGCTAAGGATACTGCTGGAAGCTGAAAAAGTTTTTATAGCATTTTAATCTTCAATTAGACAGCCACAATGGAACTTGGACCATAAATGTGTTTTACATGTGTGACTAAGGTATATTGCTTCCAATATTGCAAAACCATCTGTCACCATCATCTGTCACCAACACAAGGTGCCACCATTTCCTTCAAAGGCAGCTATATAAATCAATGCAGATGTTTATACACTGGGAAAAGGTGCCAAGATAAATCCACAGAACACAAATATGTAAATACATACACCCTTTGAGATAACTTAATACAACAGAAAGTGAGCAGCCTGAAGAGAAAGGATGTCTATGACTGGACCTATACAATTTTTCCATTCAGCAGTCCTGAAGGTACCCTTTTAGTACATTAAATCTGAAAATGAAGCTATGAAATCATGCAAAAACAAACAACAAAGGGGAAACAAAATTAAACCACATTTCCTCTGAGTTTCTGACAGTTTTTTCCTTGCAGCTTATTTACAGAATTCTTACGTGGGGCCCTGTGTGACCAAATAAATGTCATATAGGATAAAAGTTCATCTACCTCTATTAAGGTAAAGCCCATTTTCTACTCTAAGATGAGATGGCCTCATCTCAGAGTAGAAAATGCCTGCGATTTGCAGTAAAACAATTCCAAAACTGTTGACCAAAGGAACGTTTCGAAAAAGTACACACTTACTGATTCTGCGCGGCTGCTGCTGGGAGGGCGATACGTCCAGTCTATAGTCAGCCTGTCAGTGACAGCTGAAGTTGACTTGAAAGTGCATTTCAACTTGATCTTTTCTCCAACATAACCTCGGACATGGGCATCTGCATGAATCTCCAAGGAAAGGACGATATAAACACCTAATCAAAGCAAACCCAAACACTTAAAATGCATTGATTTGGGTAAAATATACAGATGTGAGTGAACAATTATTTTTAGAGCCCTCATCAAAAAGCCAGAGCAATAAATATTAATAAATATCTTCTCAGGCAAGCCCACAAGGGATAAGGAGGTGATATCTGCATTAATCAAAGATAGTATTTTTAAATCATTTTCTAATCTGAAATCATAACTGAATGCTTGTAAAAAAAATTTTAAATCTGGTCACACCAGCATTTTCCCAAATACAGGCTTGTGGTTCAATTAAGTACAAATAATGGGTCTGCCCATGGCTGGCTAAAAGGCAACATCACCCACCCATCCCCGCAGACACAAACGCACACTCTGGGAATATGGCAGCTTTTGTGGTCTAAGGGACTTACCCCAAGTATAGCATGATTGCATCATGAAGCTACCACTGCTTCAACAGCAAAATGAGAATAGGAAGTAAGAATGGAAAACTTTCTTTCAAATAATTTTCTAAAACTGCCCCCAAGGTACTATCCAGTTTTTCCAATTTTCTTAGAGCTGGCTGAGGAGACACACATCCATTAAAAGTAAATTATGGGGAAGAAAACAGAATAGGTGAATGTATTCTGTCATGTAAAAATAAGGTATCATTTTAAAACCCACTAGAGACTTATTTCTTCCAAAACCACTCATGTATCCAGCTCTGACACTTCACCTCCCTGAAAAGGACTAGCATATTCTAACCAGTTCCTTCTGCTTTCAGAGAACAAAAACGTATCTTTCCCTACAGAGGCATATTTTAGGAAATTACATTGCCAATACTTTGTTCTTCCTGCTTCCTTATCCACCTCAAGAAGCCATGAATCTTCTGGTGGCCAAGGCAAACAGAGCAACAAGATTTCAGAAAAGTGCAAACCCACACACATCCTGAATACCAATAGTGCTTCTGTTACAGACAGAATGGGGTTATGATTGAGTGCGCAGACCATGACTCCTATGCCAGAGGGTCTGAGTTCAACTCCCAGCCCTGTTACCTGCTGGCTCTGCAGCCTTAGCAAGTTACTATACTTTTTCAGTCTGCTCACCCTCATGGGAATGATAATAATAGTACTTAACCTCAGAAGGCCACTGTGAGGATTAAATGAGTTAAAGCATACAAAACACTGAGAAGCCTACCCAACCCAGAGTAAGTGCTCAGTGCATGTTAGAATCATTGTCATTATTGCCACCTCTTCAGTCCTGCCCACGCTCTCAACCTTTCTTGTCACAGTTATGAGTCAGTAGTTCCACTGCCTTTACCTCTGCCAGCTTTGAATCATTTTTCTTGCTCCTCTCTAGACAATCCAGTCTGTTGACATTCTTCTTAAAAGGAGGAGACCAAAACTGAACCCACTAATAAGAACTCGTAAGAATTTGACCCGTCCCGAAGATGAAGATTACTTCTGGTCTGCCTGTGGCACCCCTTCTGACTTTGCCATGCTAAACCTGTCATGCCTTTCGTGCCTTTCCAAATGCTGTCCCTCTGCTGAAAAGCTTTTCTCCTGCAGTCCCCACTCTCTTACGCCCTCAATCCTGACCCATCACTGTAATAAAATCCTTGTTTATCACTCAAGATCTAGCTCTAAAAACTGGAAAGTGGAAATGAATGGACAATCTACACTCTCCCTATATCCATTCTTTTATCCTAAAACGTAAGTAGAGTATAGAGATTTAAAATACAGATTTAGAATTGGCCAGACCTGGACTTGAGTAGCTCAACTACTTTCTGGCTGTGAGACCTTGATCTCAGTTACCTAACCAGTTCAGGCTTCAATGTCTTCACTTGGTAAATGGGAATAATAACAAGATCTACTTCCCTGGATCACTCTGAAGAGCCACTAAGATCAAAAAAGATAATTTTTTATTATGATCACGTTGTTCATTTCACAACATGAAATGCTGGGCATGGCATCTGGAATAAAAGCTTTAATAAATGTTAGGTATTATTATTAAAATGAACACCACACATATTCAAAAACTTTCAATAATTTCCTATGGGCTACAAAATAAAATTCAAACAGTGGCTATCTAGCCCCAAACTTCTGTCACTCCATCCATCTACCTTCCCAACCCGTTCACCACTACTTGAATGTCCTGCTATTTCCCCCATGTACTGTGTCCTTTCATGCCACTGAGCCTCTCTTTAAACACGTCTTTGTCTGGAAGGCTCTCCTCCCTACCTCTACCAATCCTGCCTGGGTTGTTCCCCACCAAACCACATCCCCAATAATCATACACCTTCAAATTCCAGTTCAAATATCAGCCCCCTTTGCAGTGCCTTCCCAAACTCCCTAATGTGGTTCATCGCCCTTTCTCCTCCTAACACTAGGTATATAATCCTGCTTAGGCACATATGCCATTGATTGCACCTAGTTATAAAGGCTATTCCTCTATTAAATGTCAGCACCTTCAGGGCAAAAATTTAGAGGGAGGGGAGCAGACAGGGAGACACCGAGAGAAACAGATAGTCACCAGAAACTCTAGTATAGGAGCAAAGCATGCTTGTAAGTCACCCACTTTATTCCTATCACCTTTTTTACAGTACATTCAATACTCTTAACTCCCCTACACTCCTATCTTTCCATTGCACCCTTTCAGGAAAAGCTCAGCTGCAGATGACTATAACTGGACTGGGCTAGTATATCCTGAACGAGAAAAATCACACAGCTTGACAGTTACCATAAAAAGTCATGAATGACACCCACCACTGAGTCCTCAACGAGGCCTGGCAAACCTTTAACTGGCCTTGGTTAGCTTCCCATTCCATGATTCCTCAAGCCCTTGTCATTCTCCCTCAATCCTCTATGCAACCTCCAAACCCCTCATTTTCAGAAGAAAATGTTACCTCTTACTTCATCATGAAACTTGAGTCCATATACATAGCCCAGGCACCCACATTCCTGCATCTGCTCCCCTCCTTACTTCCAACCTGAAAGCATGTGGTGCCCCTTTTCCTATGCAAAGTCAAGCTCCTCCATGACCTGCTTTAGCAGAAAAACCCTCCCTAGGCTGCACGCAGTGGCTCACACTGCTGTAATCCCAGCACTTCGGGAGGTTGAGGCAGGCAGATCACATGAGGCCAAGAGGTCAAGAGCAGCCTGGGCAACATGGTGAAACTCCATCTCTACTAAAAATACAAAAAAAAAAAAAGTAGCTGGGCATAGTGGCACATACTTGTAATCCCAGCTACTCGGGAGGCTGAGGCAGGAGAATCGCTTGAACCTGGGAGGCAGAGGTTGCAGTGAGCCAAGATCGCGCCACTGCACTCCAGCCTGGGTAACTGAGCAAAACTCCATTTCAAAAAAAAAAACCCTCTCTACTGCCTTCAACCCCTCCCTTTCAGCCTCTAAATACACAGAAGTTTCTCTCATCCTTAAAAACAAATAGCAATTTTTTTAAAATCTTTCCTTAACCTGGTAATATTACTTTAGTTACCAACTACTGCCCTTGGTCTCCTTTCTACGCCAAGTTTGTGAAAGAGTGGTCTACACTTGAGGTCTCCCATCTCCTCCTTCCCATTCACTTATAGACCTTATGGTACAACTGAACTCCACCATCACTTTTGGTAAAAGGCATCATATATCTTAAAATTGTAAAATCCAAGGGATAAAAACTCCAGTAGACACTTCTATCCTTATTTTCCTGGATCCTCTACCAGCGACTAATTGCTCCTTGAACTTGTCTATCCCAAAGCTTGCATGACAGTGCTTTCATTCTTTCACTCATTCTTCAAGCATACATTTATTGAGCATTAGTTTTGTGCCACCCTCTGGGTTTGGAATTAAATGCAAGCAACACTCCCTTGTATACTTGAAATATAGCAGAAGTTTGAAACATAAATTAAATAACCATAAAGACAAATACATAATTATAAACTCTGATAACTACTATGAAGGAAGGACAAAGAAAGTGGCTAAGCTTCCTGAAAGTTTCTCTTGAGCTGAGATCTGAAGGAAGGGGTAACAAGGTGAGGAGAGGCAGGACATTCCAGGCAGAGGACACAGCACATGTGAAGGTCCTGCACCAGGAAGGAGCTTAGTCAGTCAAGGAGCTGAAAAGAATGAATGCGACTGCAACATAGAAAACACGAAAGGGAGAGAAAATAGAATAAGATGTGGCTGGGAGGTAAACAAAGACCAGACCAGGCAGGACCTTAGAGATTTGGGTTATTATCCCTAGGGAAATAGGAAGACATGGAAAGTACTTAACTGTGGGACTGAACAAGAAGAGACCCGATGAAATTTGCATTCTTAAAAGATCACTTTAGAGAAGATACTTAGGAGGAATCAAGAGTGAATATTGGAAAAATTAGCACTTAGAGCCCCAGGCGGGTGGATCGCCTGAGGTCAGGAGTTCAAGACCAGGCCGGCCAACATGGCAAAACCCCCATCTCTACTAAAAATACAAAAAGTAGCCAGGTGTGGTTGTGGGAGGCAGAGGCTGCAGTGAGCCAAGATCAAACCACTGCACTCCAGCCTGGGCAATAGAGAAACTTTGTCTCTGAAAGAATTTTTTTTAAAAAGGGAACGAGTGAATGTGGGGAGATTACTGAGGAGGTTACTATGATATTCAAGTAAGAAAGAAGGGAAGTTTGAAATAAGTATGCATGTGGAATGTTAGGGAAAGGGAGGTGTCAAGGGTGACTTCGAGATTTCTGACTTGCTGATGCCATTCACTGAGAAGGGAAGACTAGAAAAGTAGTAGGCTTGGCAGGGAACAGGAGTTTGACTCTAGATGCACTTAAGGTGCCTCTGAGACACCCAAGGGATAATGTCAAGGGTGCAGTTCATTTAGAGTAAAGGTCGGCAAACTATGGCGCATGAGCTAAATGGAAGCAAATGGATCTAGTAGAAAGGGAACAAATTAAAAATAACTAGCAACTGAACTTAACTGCTAGTTCTGGGTGTGACCAGATTGGCCTAAATCAATTATGATATCCAGTGGTCTTTTGGCAAACAGCTAAAAAATTTAC